ACATCAAATATACAAATTTCTATCATACACTCTATTTTTCTGTTAATATAGAATTCCAAATCCTTCCAAAATAATCTCGAGTAAATACAATGAAAAAAAAAGATGCAAAATAGTTTCTTTTTCTTGACCACAAAATTCACAGGTATACGAAATATTAAGCTTAAATCTTTCCAAAACATGCTTAGCAGGATAAATTCGATGAAGTATTTTGTAAGACACTTCCTACATGCACTTGTACTCTCAGACACCTGCGCTTCCGCAAGTGACGTCACTTGCAATCTTTTATTTTAATTTTTTTATCATTTTTTTATTTTTATTTTTTTTATTGAATCTCGCCACATTTTACAAAAGTAGCCAGGTGGTGAAGACAAAATAAAAGAAACAAAATTACAATGTCGCTTTCGCCACCTGCACTCTCCACTTCCTGCGACGGCACTTGGAATCGACACAAATCGTGCATGTTGCCAATGGAGAAACGATTAAAACTAATTAAGTACCATTACATACAGGGTCCTGCAAGTCACCTGTAGGAGAAAAAGACAAGAGCCGCAAATCCGTGGCCACAGAACAGCAGAATATGAACATAATGAGCAAAGTCTCCCGTTAAGCGTTAATAAACTGTATATCGAATTTGATCTGCTAACAGCACTATCTTAATACATTAATCCATATTAAGTGTTTATGGTTTTCTACAGGAGGGAAACGCTTTACGAGAGACTTTGTGCATTGTGTTCATATTCTGCTGTTCTGTGGCCACGGATTTGCGGCTCTTGTCTTTTTCTCCTACAGGTGACTTGCAGGACCCTGTATGTAATGGTACTTAATTAGTTTTAATCGTTTCTCCATTGGCAACATGCACGATTTGTGTCGATTCCAAGTGCCGTCGCAGGAAGTGGAGAGTGCAGGTGGCGAAAGCGACATTGTAATTTTGTTTCTTTTATTTTGTCTTCACCACCTGGCTACTTTTGTAAAATGTGGCGAGATTCAATAAAAAAAATAAAAATAAAAAAATGATAAAAAAATTAAAATAAAAGATTGCAAGTGACGTCACTTGCGGAAGCGCAGGTGTCTGAGAGTACAAGTGCATGTAGGAAGTGTCTTACAAAATACTTCATCGAATTTATCCTGCTAAGCATGTTTTGGAAAGATTTAAGCTTAATATTTCGTATACCTGTGAATTTTGTGGTCAAGAAAAAGAAACTATGTTGCACCTTTTTTTTAATTGTATTTACTCAAGATTATTTTGGAAGGATTTGGAATTCTATATTAACAGAAAAATAGAGTGTATGATAGAAATTTGTATATTTGATGTACTTTTTTATACAGAAAACGAAAATTTGAATGGTAAAGAACAACATATTATACATTTGTTTATTTTGTTAGGAAAATTCCATATACATAAGAAGAAGTGGGCTCAATGTAAAACAGATATTGCACATTTTATAAATGACTTTAAATTATATGTAAATCTCTTAGAACAAACAAAAAACAAAAAAGCATTGAAAACATGTAATGCTCTGAAAGCATTGAACTTTATGTAATTTTCTTCCTTTTTTTTTCTTTTTTTTTTTCTCTGGCAGCTAATAATGTTAATTTGATAATGTCAATATGTAATACCCATAGGTAATACCTCATGTTCTTGTGGCATTGAATTAATAAAGCATTCAAAAAAAGAGTGCAAGTGCATGTCTGCAGCCAGAGCCTAGTGCAGTTCTATGTGTTTTCTTCTTCAGCACCATGGAGAGCTCCATTCCCAGCTCCGTTCCCGTTCGTCCCGCGGCTCAGCGCGAACCGCTCGAGTCTGACCAGATTCTATCTCCCGCCTGGCGGGAGTCCAATCACGATGAGTCGCGTTCAGAACCCCAGTGCCGCAGTTTTTTTTTTTCCTGATTTCGGCGTGAGTGTCGGGAGAAGCGCAGAAAGTTAAAAACACTGAAACACGAGTCACTCCAACAAAAGCAGGAAAAAGCCCCAGAGCCTCCAGAGAATCGTGACTCGCGGAGAAAGCAATGCGTCACGGGTGGGTGGGGGTGTTCGTATCCACGCATACAGTCATAATATATACTCACTTTGATTCTAACGCGCTCATTCCGCTTCCCCGCCCCGCGTCGCGTCACATTCAGCGGGGCTGCCCGCGATACAACTATTGATTTCATCTCTCTCTCTCTCTCCCTCCCTCCTTCTCTCTCTCTCTCTCTCTCTCTCCATCACTTCTTCTCAGCTTTTCTTCAAGTGCTGCAGAGAGACGCGGCTGCTGCTGCATTGTAAGGAGAGAAAGAAAAACGCTAAAGGAAGATCCGTGTTCACTCGCTCAGGTGGCTGCGCGCCGGTCGGTAAGTGATTGAGTTTTTCTGCAGGTTTTACGCACGAGCCTAAAACGTAAAATGAACTTTAGCTGCATACAGGGAACGTTCACACGCACGCGTTGTTGCGTTCAGCGCGGTTTCGGCACGCATTTTTTTAAAAGTTGAAGTGTTTTTAACATAACACGCCAGGTTACGAATGCAACACAAAGACGCAAATCTTACGCTTGTGTACATGAATTAATAATTAAAATCAGCAGAACGCGTCCCGTGTGAACGCTTCTAATTAAACGCGGTGTCGAATCTGATTTATATTTATGGCGTTTCACCTGTGATTTTATTTTTTTTTATCTTGAAGTGTGTTTTTTTAAAAATAGCCAAGCATGCAAAACGCATAAAACAATTACTGCAATTTCTCTTGTATGTCAGTTCAGTCAGATTAAAATATTGGTTTTGCTCAAAGTGAATGAAGTTAGAGGTACTAATTAACATGCAAACACACATATATTTATGCGTTAACGAGCTTTTTACAAATTAAGCAGGACTATGTGGTGGACATTTAGAATGATATAATTTGAGTTTTTAATCAGGAATTTACAAGGCTGTGCGCCAGTGCATAATTTATATGTGCTAAAAAAGTTAAAAGTGTTATTTGTAATCCATTATAAATTCATTTTGGATTTGAAAGGCAAAAAAAAAAACAATTTTTTCAAGAGCAAACATTCAATATTTTAAAGCTTGTACACTGTATTTTTTTTCCCTGTGGAATACAAAAGGAGAAAATCTTTTTCCCATATATATATATAAAAAAAAGATTTGGTATCCATGTCTGTCAAGCTCCAAAAAGGACCAAAACACCATATAATTAGTTCAAAAAGTTCATTTTCTAAGTCATATGAAATCATAAGCTTTGTGTGAGGAACAGACCACAAGTGACGTCAGTGGAATCAAACCACAACATTGGTGTAACCAGATGTCACTGACACGTCAAACACAGAGAAGTTCGCCTGTGAATAATGACTTCGATTTGAGTCTGTTCCTCATGCAAAGCATCATATGACTTGAGAAGGCATGGAATAAATTTGAATGGATCACTTTTATGACAAGTTCACTGCTTTTTTTGCAGCTTGACAAATGAAAAAAGCCATTTTGCATGATAAAGATTCTTTAAAATGATACTTTTGTATTAAGAGAGAGTAAAGAATGACAGCTTTTGGCTTAAACTATTCTTTTAAGTAGTAAGCATAGAAAAACCCATAAAGATCAAGCATTATTCAGAATACTGGAGAAGATGAGTGTGTGTGTGTGTGTGTGTGTGTGTGTGTGTGTTAAGTTGCTCAAGGGCTCCCGGTGTTGTTCTGGATTATGGAAAGAGAGAAAGAGAGAGTCACTTTAGGATCTTGTTCCCTGACAGAGCAAAATTTGTGTGACTGTCACAAGCTGACAGAAATCCACCTGAAAATGAGTCATGGAGGCGCGTGTGTGTGCATGTGTGTGTGACGGAAAGATAAAACGGAGAGGGAGGGGGATTGAATCCCATGCACAATGTCACAAAATCTCATTACGGGGCGCAGCTTGCGTCAGAGCCGGACCGTGATTGATGCCTTTTCCCGGTTGTGCTGGCGATTCACGTGCAGGCTGATGACTTTCCACCAAGTGGTAGTAAAAGGGTGAAAGCTGCGGTGCATGAAACAACCTGCCTGAGAGAAAGAGAGATGCGCTGAATACACAACTATAGCGCTGTCCTGTAACTGGAAATGTAGCTTTACTACAGTAAAGTGCTGTAGTAACAAATAAGTCGCTTTTTGGATATACTTTACATTTGTTTTGTTTTTTTGCATATCGTGGTACCAAGGTATTCTTTGGATGAACATGTATTGTAAATATAACATGTACAGTGGGTACAGAAAGTATTCAGACCCCCTTAAATTTTTCACTCTTTGTTATATTGCAGCCATTTGCTAAAATCATTTAAGTTAATTTTTTTTCCTCATTAATGTACACACAGCACCCCATATTGACAGAAAAACACAGAATTGTTGACATTTTTGCAGATTTATTAAAAAAGAAAAACTGAAATATCA